CCCCATGGGGGGGTGGGATTCCACCCCTGGACCCCCCACGCGGTTCACTTGCTACCCCACCACCACAACTAAACCCAAACCCACTTTAACAAACCCCCCCCCCCCCCCCCCCCCTTGGATCCCTCCAGAGGGGGGGAGCTAAACCCTTTACCCCCTAGGAGGAAATCCTTCAATCTCTTTTCGAAAGTTTATATATAACTACTTAATCTACCCTTAATTCGAATCTCAGAGCGATTTAACTATAGAAAGGTAGTTAAAAGGTTAAATTAAAAATAGTGAATTCCTTTTTAATAGAGTAATTGTAAGAAGTCCTGACTTCATACAATGTCAGAACGAAGCGTTGGCGATACGCTAGCGATTCGCATATGAATCCCCAACTCCGCAGAAGCAGGAGGTTCAAACCAAGGACATGGATGCAGCATGGAAGGTCCTAGAAGATTCCATCTTCCATGGTAGCAGGGTCAGAGGTCATCCGACATTACCCTGTCGTGAGTCGTGTATGTAAAGCCATAGATTAGTTGACGGGTCATCATCCGGTCATCTTGCAGAAGTGCTACAAAACGAGGAAGTCCCCCAGGACTTTCTTACTTCTGCAAGAATCAGTTTTGCAATAATCTACAAGACCCTCATACCAGAATCGGATTCGATTCGCTAGAGATTCTATAGCGAACCGTATCCACTTCCCCCTTGATATCTTACTGGGTTGACAGGCCGTACGCCTGAACCTGTACACTTCTGACAGTAATCTAATATCTCTTATAGTACTATTACTTAGTACTATGACTAATATAGCAGTAAGTTACTTAATATATAATCTATACTATTAACTTAAAAGCCTTTTCTTTCTGACTATACCTAATTTAATAGAGAAACTTAGTAAAAATATAATTTAGTCTTAACTCCTAAGATCTATAATCCTAAACCCTCTCAGCACTTTATTTATAAGCTTAAATCAACTACTTCGTACTTTACTCTATTACTTTAAACCTCTAGATTTTATTAGCTATTATCTATACTTATACTTCTTCTATCTTTAAAACTATTAAAGTTCTATCCCCAGAAGGATATAGGTATACTATAAATAAGTAGATTTTAATAAAGAATAATAAATTAGCTACTGAGATATAAATAAATATAGAATCTATATAGTTAATAACAGTTAGTAGAATATATAGGCTAAACTAAGTATAACTCTAGAAGGTTCGTTTGTATAAATCTATAATATTACCCCCCTCCTCTGTTCTATTAGAGTATAACTCTATCCAAAACTCTGTTATTGTCCTAATATAAGGCTATAGTCTTTAACTAATACTGTAAAATTACTATATCCTATAAAATATCTTCTAGTTCTATTGTTAGTTATATATAACCTTTCTACTTTATTTAGTGATTTTTGGATGGACCTGGAAAAAGTCAGTCTTTGTTCTTTCCCGCTCAGTCGCACGACTAACTTCGTTCGGATATCTAGACTTAATGTTGTGAGCACATGTATCGCAAAACATCATTTTAGATAACTGTAGCACTCACTCAGCCAAACATTGGAAGGCGATCATACTGTAGTCTCTCGAAAGATCATCCTTTCGGGGAAGTTCCAGTTCGTTCTCGGATCTCGGGCTCCTACACCTGTGTGGTGAAGGAGATTCCTGGTTATAATCCGACGAGATACCGATGCGTTCGTTGCCAAAGTTCTCATTTTCTTGAACAGAGGCCCCGTCCTCTGTAGTATCACCCGCCGCAGACCTTGACGGACTCCGGATAACCTCAGACTCGGAGGGTGGCAGGGATAGAGCGCGCTGTAATCAGCTCCGAAAGCTTTGTCTGTGATCAGTGTACGGAAGTTTTCGAATCCCAGCCATGATTGCACCTGAGTCACGCTGGAATTACAAACGTCTCCAAATACGGTCAAATGTCAAAGGGTCGTTCAGGCTTTTAAAGAGAGCTGGATCATCAGATCGGAGGTTGCAATCGGGTTTTGCAAGGCGCATTGTCTGCCATCTGCACATCCCACACTTGTCGCTTAATTTAGAGTACATTCTGGCCAATGAGTCATGAAAACCATTCTTTTTTAGATTGGAGAAATTTGCGTATTTGCCACCAAAGTCTGTTTAATGTTACATTGTTCAATACCCAGTGGGGCTCGGTCTGAGAATTCATTGCTGTTTTCATTTCAACGCACAGTAGCTACATCCAAGAGCAGTCTTTAGAAGCACAAAATTAAAATTTGCTCGCTACTGTAGATAGGGATATGTTCGAACGCTGGGGCTTCGAGAGAGTCTGAAGTACGGCGTCGATAGGTAACAGCTCAGACCCGCTGAATTGACACGCCAAAAGGGTTCATGGGTCATCTTGTTGCGCTTTTGAAAGTTTCTGATGAACCAACCCACGGTACTATCTTAGCTTTTCACTGGGACCTGAAGGGGGTTTAAGCTCACCTTTCCCATCCGCATGAATTCAAACCGTGCCCTTGCCTCAAAAAGTCTCTCTGACTACTGCTAGCTCATGCGAGCACTATGTCCCCTCGCAGCGAAATTGTCTGGTCGGAATGGGAGGAGGAAAACATTCTTTCCTGGCTCGATGCACACCGGGCGTTGCCGTGGAAAGCCCGCTCCGACGCATATTATGAACAACATCAGGTGCGCCGAAGCGTTGAGTCTCTACGAGGGAAAAAATATCATATTCTGCGCAAGCAACGTGGTACTGGTGCCAAACTGCCTAAGCATTCAGAGAATAGAAGCCAGGCAGGAGCCGCTCGTCGATCGGTGGGCGGAAGAGCTTCATTGGAAGCGCTTCCAAAGAAAGGTCCTGGCCAAAGTAACACTGCAATATGGTTTCACACAATTCTAACCGCCGACCCTATCCATACCGATAGCATTGAGTCAACCGAGGAGAAGGGCTCGAGACCAGGTATGAATCGACCTTTATCCACTATTGGTTACAAACTGATCGTTCATATCAGGCGGCGCGAGGCCACTGCTCAGCCATCTGCGACATAAAGAAATACGATCGTTATCGCAGATTTGGGACTATGTGCATCGTGTCTGTGCAGCGACAAAGCTGAGATACCGCTGAGCAGAACGTTCATGCTACCAGCGGTTTGATTGCATGCGCGCTACATCGTGATCTCCGAGCATCGATCCTAACTATCTCAATGAATGAAGGTTGTTAGGTGTTGCTAGGGACGGGGGATTTATTTTTATGAATTCAGATAGTTCGCAATATATCCAAACATCCTTGGATTCAAACCAATAGCGAGGGGGTCACAAGGTCATGGATTGACTAAAGTTATCCCACAGACCGTAGAAGTTGGCTGGGATCGTCGATCAATCGCAGAGTCCTGAAATTAAATTTCGATGAACCATGGGAAAGGTCGCTCGGTGAGAGAATGCGGTTGTCATTAATGATCCTCGAGGAAAGCTTATCTACAAGCCTCTGCTCCACTCGCTTTTAGGTTGCTTGTGACTAAGCCCTGCAGCTCTTAAAGAGATCTAGGGCAGAATCACCAACTTCTCGGTCGGATCATGTATATGATATTGCAAGACACAATACTTTATCAGGAAGATCCCCTACATTCAGCGTCATGATCAAGATGCGCAAGGTGATTGAAATAAAGTTAAGGGCCGTAGGAGTGCCGGCCCACAATGCCGACCCTTGTTCGGGAGCCAATCGATGTCTCTGTTCTAGTCCAAAAACCGGAGACATTTTTTTTACCTCATGTGGCTTGTCCGTAGTTAGCATATTTTCTACAAGCCATCTGCTAGAGATATCAAATTAGCGATCGGATTTGGCAGATGGAGAGGATGGGTCAGGCTCAAAAAGAGTATAGTTTGCACGAGGAAGGTTTATACAAGACAAAAGACATAGCTTCTAGAACGTTCTATAGACCAGATAAAAATAGCAGCAGCTTCCCCCTGTACGAAGGACCTGTCTCTCTTGCGAGGGCAACTGAACCGCGGATCGGATCTCGCTGCAAAAAGTCTGTGACATTCCAAATACCTCATCTGCCCCAACCGACTGCCCAAGCAACAAAGACCTGTTCCATCTGTACTCTGACGGCCCGTCAAGACTAGGTTGTGGATCGTGTCTGGACCCTTGCAGATCCTTCCGATTTCTTCTGCGGGCCACAAATAGAACCTCCGTGATCTACTATCCCGTGGGTCGTCCCTGGGATCTGCATCGCTGAACCCGAAATACCTGCGTCTGTCTAAAGTCACGCGCGGTGTTTGATTGGTCCGTTGGGTGCTATTTGTATCTAGGGTCTCATCGCTGTGATAGCAGCGTTGTAATCTGGCGAGGGGGTGGCGATCACGAGAATCTAGCTCGTGAGCCATGGTAGCTGAAATAACTCACTTCATTGTCCTGGAAACTGGACTCGGGTTTATATTCTGAGATTTCCAACAAAGTCTACACTTTCGATTCTCCGTCAAGGAAAACAACTTATACCCTGGATTTGGGAGTATGTTCATAGTGTCTGCACCGACAGGTAGCAGAAGTTTTAGGGGAGGCAACCTCAGTTGGTTGCGAGCAACAAAGAAAAGTACCGTTCGAGTAGCGCGAAACTAGAAATAGGCAGAGGATTGTAGTGGGATCAATGGGAGGCACGTCCTATGGCCAACATCCGGTACAATCGAATGTGACTGCCTGCCACATTGTCCAATCCATTATTGCGGCACCTGTTGAAGCACTTCAACTCTCATGAAACAGACGGTGACCATGGCTAGTGACCATGGTCAAAACGGGCAGAGCAGTCTGCCACCGCGTTGAGCGATTTAATTGCAATTTCAATGGTGTGAGAATCATATTCTTGCGGTGTCGGTGTCTTTTCAACAGTTGATGAAAGTGGTGCACCACACTCAACGCAGGTTTTGAACGCAATGAATCCAGGTTGAAACTTGAGTCTGTAGGCCACAAAGTCTCCTAACACCATTTCAACGTTGTTCAAATGTCTTCAACGACAATAACAAGACAGTGATTCTCGCTACCTTCTGCGCAACTGGTTCCTTGGTAGAGACGTAGCCGAAAAGATATAAAAGGGGCCAGATTCCCAGCCCAAAAAAATCAGGACTTCGGTCCTCACACTCCGATGTGTCACGATGTCCCTCTCTTGCCTGCGGGCTTGAGCGTCTCCGTGGCCACGGCTGTCGCTGCCACGAGCCCAGCGATGTAAGAGGGTGCTTCGCAGGATAGGTCTGCGTCAACAACAATCCTCGCAGGATGGGCTCTGCGTTATCAACTGTGTCTCGCAGGATAGGCTCTGCGTTATCAACTGTGTCTCGCAGGATAGGCTCTGCGTTATCAACTGTGTCTCGCAGGATAGGCTCTGCGTTATCAACTGTGTCTCGCAGGATAGGCTCTGCGTTATCAACTGTGTCTCGCAGGATAGGCTCTGCGTTATCAACTGTGTCTCGCAGGATAGGCTCTGCGTTATCAACTGTGTCTCGCAGGATAGGCTCTGCGTTATCAACTGTGT